TGCTCTAAAAATCTTAACGATTCAACTCTCATCAGAGGAAACTATCGTGGCGACTTCAGTTGCGAGCATTGGCGCTGCATTGAACATTAAATCCTCTTTAACATGGATATCCACTTCGTATTTTCTCACTACTACTGTCGTTCAGCCAATTATAGGACGAATTGCGGTTCGTTCGTGGTAGTGCTGCAATTAGAAAAACGCTGTCTGACCATGTATCATGATCCAGGACGTGGTAGGGAGTAAACGTCTACTTCTCATCGAGCTGTGGATCTTTGCTCTGGGAAATATTATAGCTGGGACAAGCAAAACTCTCTCACAGATCGTGGTTGGGAGGCTGATCAGCGGTATCGGCGGAGCAGGCCTGATGTCTCTGGTCTGCATTCTGGTTTCGCGTGAGTGAATTTATCGAACGCGAGTAAGGCATGTGGAGCCAACTTTTGCTCGATGTACAGAACTTACTCACGAGCGCCAACGTGCGACATACATGAACCTAATTAACGCAGTCTTCATCATCTCGGATGCGGTAGGACCAATCCTTGGAGGTGCTCTCGCAAATTCTGGGAATTGGCGATGGATGTGAGGCTCAGTTTCCCTAAATTTATCTGGACTACATAATGGTTGACTCTCTGATCTTGTAGATTTCTTTTAAATGCACCTTTCAGTCCAGTCAGTGAGTATTATTTTGGACATTTACTATAATCTTCTTGATTACAACTTTTTCCAGTCACTTTTCTTGTCTTGCGGTGGTTGCGCTTTCCTTCCCCGAAAATTTCTTCTACAATGCATATTCGTTCCCTGCATGATGTGTTGTCCAAGGTTGATCTGCTTGGAATGTTTACTCTTGTCTCCTGCCTTTCCTTCCTTGTGGTCGCACTCAATTCCGGAGGACAAACCGTTCCCTGGGGCTCTTCTCTCATAGTAGGTATGCTATGTGCTTTGGGTGTTTCTGGAATCGCCTTCTGTGTCGTGGAAGGTCGATATGCCAAAATGCCGATAGCACCTGGAAGACTGTTCGTGCGATGGGGGTGGAGGAATGTCCCAATCATGATGGTTACTAGGACTCTTCTTTTCTTTCATAATTTCGCCATGGTGAGCGAGGCAGTCGTCATCAATAGCTGCGTTTTTCATTTCTGATTCTGTCTACACACGTTGTAGATTTTCTACATTCCAAGTATGTTGTGTGGTTGTAACTTGCTTTTGTCGTACTTACGTACCACACTTGCACTGTGCAAGTTTTCCTCCAAGTCATTGGCCTTTCGACCGTCACTTCTTCTGCACTGATCATTCCCTTCCTCGCCATGGCGGCAATATCTAGCTCAGCAGTGAATGCTACTACGTCGAAATATGGGTATGTCAGGACAATGTGTACCTGCGGTATTGCTATAATCCCAATTGGAATGGTATGTCGAATCGTTACGCTTTACCACACTCTAGTCATAAAGTTTCTACGATATGCAGGGATTGATGTCCACATTAAACGAAAAGAGTTCTATTGGGAGAATCGTGGGGTATTCCTTAATTTCGGGATTGGGCTTCGGATCTGTATGTGGATCTGGCCTCGTTTCCCCGTTTTCATGACCTAACTTCATGCTTTTAGGCGACACAAATTACAATGGTCATAGCCCAAGTTGGACTACCCGCAGATGAGCTATCTACCGTGACAGCCCTTGTAGGTGCTGCTCCAACGCTGGGTGGGACGCTTGGTGTTGCTGTAGTCGGTACTGGTAAGTGATGTATTTAACCTCGGTATTTCATTGTTGGTTCACTCTTCGCCCGACAGTCATAAACAACGCCTACCAACAAACTGTGAAACAGTCTACGATAGCCTCCTCCCTCTTTCAGAATAACGTCAACTCGACAATTTTATCAAACCCATCTGATGTTATCGCAAGCATCTCTTCCCTCGCACCACAAAATCCTGTACGCAAGGTGCTGATTTCGGCGTATGTGTCCGCATGGAAGAAGGGATGTTATACTCTTGTAGGAGTGGCGATGTTGCAGCTAGTGCTTTGCGCAATGATGCGCAGAGTAGATTTCGATTCCTCTTCGAGGGAGGAAGTAGAAGAAAGCGTGACTAATGAGGATATCAAGGAAAGTGGGATAAGTAAACACATAACACAGGATACAGGAACAATAGGCCACATTGTTGTACATTAACCTCATAATCAGCACGACATATGTACATCTTTGGAAAACATAGAGGGTAGATTCGAACGTGAATTCACTTTCTCAGCACCTTTGAGTATTCAGAATGATAACGTCGCAGCTACTGGCTCGAGTTTAGTAGTAAATATATCTGATCGAGGGTAAGTGGTGAAGAAACTCTGATACGAAGACTGCAAGGCTACAGCGTAAGGAACTTGGCGTTCTCAATGCCAGTAACAAGATGTTTACATGTACAACAAAACAGGAATGGTCAATAATTGTAAGGTTGGATCGGCAAACAAGGAGTTACTAACCACCGTGGTTGGCCAAAGGAAACAAAGGATGACCATGTGTCGCTCGATATATCCAGTCCAAGCTATTGTAACAATGATTTTTGGCCTCGTTTATCTCTCAAAGACCTTTAATACAATAGCCATCCATTATGTGATTTGCCAATACAATATATGCAGGTCAAAGCAAAGAGACGTGTACCCAATAAAAGGGCTGAGTCAGTATACTGGATCACACCAGATTCTCCCAAATTTCTGCAACCTCTCATCCTCCCGACTATCACCATGCCAGTTACCCGATCTCAAGCCCGAAAGAAAGCATCACAACCCCAAGTCGGGCCTGGAATCTCGACGGGTGGTGCTCCGCCTCCTTTAGATTCTCCTGTGCAGCTTAAGCGCACAAGCGGTAGTACGCATGCCGCCACTTCCTCCACACCCACCGCCGCACCTGAAACTCGGCGAACCCATCGCAGGCTCGAACGCGCTATGTCTGAGAAGTTGCTTCAGGCCTTGACGGATACTTTAGAAGAGGTTCCCGCCCCGGTAGCACTCATTAACTCAGGACCAAAACCATTGCGGCGCTACGAAACGCCACTGAATCTGGTGGGGAACGCAGTGAACAATCCGGCTCTCTTGAATGCGCCTAGAGCCAGTCGTGTTCGTAGGTTGAGACGAGAACCTACATTCGCAGCTGTGCTCGAGGAACTGTCGGGGCAAGACCCGGTCCCTGCCCGGACTGGTCAACCTGCGGCCCACAAACAGCCTCACCAACACCGGTTGTTAGATTTACCTCAAGTGGAAGACTTGGGTATCCCCGCTGATTGGAATAGGAAGAGTGATATTTCGTATGAACTTACTGAGCAGGAACGAGGGTGGATGATGATGTTCGACGAAGTAGTCCCCTTGACATCCAACGATCTACAGAGTTGGAAGCTAATGGGAGCTTACATGGACAAATTTCGCGAATTCATGAGATCCAAAACGAGGGAGCCCGGGATGGAACCTACACAATCCATGGACAGATCATAATTGTAGAAGAAGTGACAGTAGGCTTACATAGAATTGCGACTGCCACAATCCCTAATTTACCTTCGTATAAAATGACTTGTTTTATGAATACGTTGTGTGATTATGATTGGTATATGATTCTAAACAAAACTAGGCTGTATAGATAAAATCGGCATATAGTACATGAGGATATAGAGTGAGCTGTTCGGACTGAAATATCCAGTACTGACCAAAGCTTCACTTCATATATCAGAGGGCAATGGATTGCGCGGAAGTTTGCCCAAGCGGATACTTCCAAATGAGAAGGAAGAGGCTTGAAACAACCACTCCATCGGCTTCTATTCGACTGTGCGATTCCTGTCTCCGATTGTATATGCTTGACGACTTTGAATGCTCCGCAATATTCTTAGTGATAGAGCTTTCATTGTTAGCGGTATGCTGGTATTTCCGAAGTCATGAGATGAGAATGTACATATACAGAATGCAAAGGTAGTTTTTCTGGATCATGAAGTGGCATCGTTGGCCTTGGAGATAATCGACCCATCATCTGCGATGACTTTGAAGCGAACTGAGTGGATAAAGCGATATTCAATAAGCTAGTGCAAGCTAGGCAAGTGGAATGAAACACGCACGGGTTTCGAACGGAACGCCTTTTTCTCGACGAATACTGGTGAAGTATACAGTACCAGCTCCTATGTAGGGGGTCAGCCATCGTTTATTGCTCAGAGTGATTGTTGTATGCGCACCTTTTGATCCTTTAACCCTGAAACTGACATCTATGGTTCCTTGCATAGTGCTAATCTGTAGAAAAAACGTGGATAAGGTGCGCGAGGTTGAGAGCGTTACTACTATACATACCGAACCAATAATCCTCGGGTCACCATTCAACCACCATTCGCCCTGCATCCGTATGGCGTCTCCGAGAACAGCCCGTAGTGCCTCGTCTTCTCGAAGTTCCCGCATAATCTGTTTCACCACCGAGCTCGATATCTTTTCCTGGTTTGTAACATATGTAAGGAATACAGTCCACCCAGCTACCCCAACGACAGCGAATGCAACGATTGTAGGCCAACTTCTCTAAGAGGAGCAAACGATTCGGTGAATGTCGGGTTCAATAACAGATTCAGCATACCTGCAATCGAGGTAAATCTCTTTTCAGCGCAGGAGGCGGGTGCTTTAAGTGATACGGCCGAGGACGAGATGTCCCAGAATACGTTGTGACATTGGGAGCCTCTGCAGCAGCGGGACCTGAGCGAGTAGCAGTTGATAGGTACCGTGAATACTGTCCGGGTAGAGTTGTTGTTACGAAAGGAGAGCGACGGGGTATTAGAGATTTGAATTGAATGTTCATCTTTGTGTGCGGTGGAATCCTATGCACCTGGAATCTAGGGTGAAGCTTATAAGAGAGGCCGGAAATAACGGAGTTGGAACGGAGTCGGATTGCACGTGAATTTCTTCGTGCCTTCTCTCGAGCGCCTGTCTCCAGACAAGGCCAGATTCTGATTCTAGAGCGTATGGATTCTGCAATACATAAACTGTTGGCTTTTCTCTTGCACTGGTGAGATGGCCGAGTGGTCTAAGGCGCTAGATTTAGGCAGCCTGCTAAACTCTAGTCATTCGTGGCGTGGGTTCAAATCCCACTCTCATCATTTTTCATCGTTTCGACCGGTTTTTATTTCTCAAATCAAGCCTGAATTCGACGCCTCGATGCTTTCTCAATGGTCAACGAAGACGGAGGTGAGATTGAGCGTATATTGTATCGTCACAAATGTAAATACCCATTCCCCCGAGTCAAGCATCTGCCTAAATCCTCGAACCTACTATGTATGCACGGGTCAGGTAAGGGGAATCCGATTGAGTGAGTTCAGTTTGATTGGCAAGTGAACGAGTTTGCAATTTTGGAAAAGCCAACGACGCTCAAATCGTCAACAGTACCGTTGATCAACTGCGCTGAGCCACTGCAAGCCTCGCCACTAGAAGAGCAAGTTCAGGAGACTGATCGGGAAGAGGGAGCTCAGTACCACTTACGTGAAAAGGGTACATTCGATACCACTGGGAGTGGCAGCACTTTCGACAAGATCGCCCTGTCCATTGGCGATGAGGCTAGTGCAGCCTACAGGTAAAGTGGTAGACGTCCAAGTCAAACAGTTGACCAGGTTGACTTGGTTACATGTGGTGAACACCAAGATAGCGTCTGCCACATCGCTAAAGATGCCTTTGTGCGCGACGGCAGCAGGGGCTCTTGGGGTAAGAGCGATGGACGAGACTAATACAGCGTTAAGGAGAGCGAACAGTGCGACGAATTTGAACATGATGGTGGGTAGCTCGTACAGTTCGTAGAAGGCAAAGCTGATTTGACTAGCTTTAACTAGGGAACAACCTGACTGACTATTTGAGCTTTTATACGGTAAGAGGCACGACTCCGAGGTGAATTTCTACGGTCAGAAGCCGGGGATCAGTCCCCTGCGGTCTCCTTGATACCTGAGCAGTTTGAACTGTTGAGTCCATCCATCCATCTTCCGAATCAGTGATCTCGAAGGTCAGCAACGTAGCGTATATGAATAACTGAATAGCTGTTTTCAGCGCCGGGTAGGCAGCGAACACGCTGGTTCTTGACATATGTATCATTCCCCTTTCTTCAAAAATAGCCTGATATTAGAAGACACTCAGGCACAACGCTTTTATAAAATATGGGATCACCCAACAATAGCTCCTGGTCAATGTCCGGCCCAGTAACGAACCAATAAACGACTACTAAAGTTCAAAATTAGGAAAAACACGAGTAAAGTGGAACGTTTCAAGGAGGCCGTTGCATGAGGATGTTCGGCACTTCCTTATGTCGTCCAATATAAAGTGTTCAGCCAGCGTCCAACGAAAGACGTTTGAATTTGACATTTCTCGATATAACTCAATGTTCGACTTACAGCCGCTGTGATTCTCGGTTCTGCTTGATATTGTTACAAACGAGAAAACAGAATACACACTGTATACGGCGACAAGCTCGTGAATTCCTCGAAACAACTTTGTCGAAACAGTGAATGTGAAGAGTGTCGGATAGTCTGTGGAGAGTCATGGAGTATATAGGCCCATTCTGTGAGAGCCGAAGAACTAAAAAGCTCTGTTGGTTCCTAGCGCGCGTTGGCCGTGGAGATTATATGAGCACTGCAGCAGAAGTGTCTGAATCTTTCTGACGTGATATACTTAGTATGTAGTGGCAGGAGCGGGAACATGAAAATGAGCGTTCCGAGTGATTTTATGCCAAAGTTATCGGTGGGAGGAAGAGGATGCGCATGAAAGTTCGGAATAGTGTGCGACTCATGCCCCATACTAACTACGATACTAATATATTTCGTTTTCCCTCCATGACCAGAAATTGCTAATTTCCACCTGTGCGATATACATCAAGACAAATGTACATCGGTACTTAGGAAAAGCGAGAGGCTCACAATCAGTGAGTTCAATGCGTAAAAGACTGCCCCTTGTGTCCTTTTCCCATACGAACAAGTATACCCCTTCTCCTCTCCTTACTTCAGCGTTCGAGTTGACAACGAGAACGTACAAGAATATTCATAGCCTATCACTACCTTTGGTCGTGTGAAGATCGCTTCGAAAACGGCAAAAGTCACATTCCAGGGCATAAGAAACTTATCATATGAAGGAAGAAAGTCAAGATGGCTGGGAATGGGTCGGGTTAAGAGCGTCAGTTATTATTAACAAGCGCTCAATTGTTACATTGGCGCTTATTTACCCAGTTTCGACTTAAACATAGGTAGCTTTTAGCTTGTTCACTACCACTTCATCGCACTGTGCAATGAGTAGAGGAGCCCTCGACTATGCCATGGTGCAGTCATAGAGCGAGTCGAGTGTGGGCTAGGTGTGGGTCAAGTGTGGGTCAAACATATGTCCAGTTTTCCAGAGCCACAACTCCCCCACGCTTCCGATTCTGATGTTATCAACATGCGTAAAGAGCGAGGCGTTCTAACCAATTCAAGAATATTCCTTGTATTCTATAATCTAGGTTGGGGTTTGCCCTTATTAACATATCATTCACACACTGTCGAAATAACGAAAGAACAGCACTTGTTTCGATGATGCCTGTTCATGCAAATCACCAGAAATAGAACGTGGCGAAGAAGCACCGGCACAGATATAAATTGGATACAAAATGAAAACATACTTGATTCTCCCCAGACTTACGCCACATAAATCGTAGCCGGAGTTCTTTGGTTTGAAGGAATGTCCTCCTTGTATAAACGTTCATCTGCATCCATCACTCGCACAGACGGGCCGCATCAAGAACTCAGAGTTCCGGCTGCACCGTCCAGTTTCAAGCACACTATCGATCTTCCTCCCTCAGATTCTGATGACTACTACCAAGCCAACTCAACAAGAGATGTTGAGGCTGGTGACGAGGTCATTGCGATACAGAAAGAGGAGATGCGCACTAGCTCAAAGAAGCTTCCAGAAAATAACACAGCGACTGGAGAGTTTGGCCTGAATGGCTTGGGTTTGATACCTGAAACCCATACTTTTCATAAGCGCAAGGATGACGAAGGACGAAAGGACAAACATAGAAAACAGGGCCATCGTTTGGAAGTTGCCGCTGGTAGCAGCAGAAGTGTCTCTTCAGCTAAATATTCGAAGGCACACGATTTTGTGGAGGGAAGGTCTCGTAGGAGCACAGTTCGTCGCGAAGATGATTTGAATAATTTGCAAGGGTTTGGAAATCTCCTCGTTGATCAACCTGGGGAATTGGATGAGTTGGATATCGCGCTGGTGCGCCCAGAGGAGCAGTGGAGATTCGATCCGACCGCGAATGATTCGATGGATACGCCGCTTAAGTTGGATAGTAGAGGAAAAGGGAAAGGTAAATTTAAGGAGGTGGGATGGTGAACGCAAAGTGTGTATGAATGGAAGAGATGTCAAATAGGCTTTTTCGTGGACACGCTCGTCAAGCTTTCGTGCCATTTGTATTTGTATAACAATGAAATTCCAACCGGCAAAATCTAGTGACCTGGGCTTGGACATCCAGGAAGCTGAGAAACGTACAATGATATACCTTGCAGCTTGGAGGGAGTGAAGCAATCAAGAGACTCGAGCTATTCCTTGATGCCGAGGCATGCTGTATGAGATAACATCTTCAGCAGAGGGACACCTTGAGTTCTGATACATCACCGAAGCTACTGGCCTCCGGTCTATTCAATCAACTTGTTTTGCCACGACCTAACTCTTGACCTTATTTCCATCACTATCAGGTTTTCATCTTCACCTAATCTACACCTTAGATATAGCAGTGAACTCTTTTTTCATGCCTGTAGCGACGACGAGCAGCGCGGATCAGCATGTTTTGCCATTACCATACATATCCAAAACCCAGTCTGTCTTGGAAGGAGCTTGAATAACGTCGCAGAAAGTTTGTTCGAATATGCAAGGAAACGCAGGGCTAGCACATTGCTCACTTATCAGTAGTCGTCTTGCCTTACACGTCTAGATTCACGTTCCCTAGTCTTGTTTCTAATCTTCTAGTGCATATGCATAAACAATTAGGACAACTTCGGCATCTGGTAAGCTCTCAGAATTAACGCTCATGGATGTGTATAAATCGTTGTGGTCAGAATTTGCGCAGACTGTGTTCCCTAGTCTTTGTAACTTTGCCCACTACTCGCACTCATTTATATGCTAATCGGGTCAATGTTTTACGTGAAGTGTTCCGCTTACTCAACGTCAGGCTCGGGCTTGACGAACTGTGACAAACGAGGAATCCATGCTTGCTCAAAGGTAAGCATGCCTTGTTGGACTTACATCATGCTCAGTCCTCCTCTTTTTCTTTTCTTTAGTGTCGACTGCTTCGGGTACGCTCTCTATACCGTTGACATCTTGCGCTTTTCTTCAATCTTTTTATTTTCTTCTCTTCTTATAGTACTGCTCCAAGCAGTGCCAAGAATCGCACTGGAACACTCACAAGAAGGATTGCAAACATCCTTACAATCGGCCTGACTGGAAGCCAGCATGGCTCTCTGAAGGCCGAACACCAGCATTCGTCGCAGACGATGAGCCTCAGACTCATTTCGCAACTCATTGGGCACCAGAATACCTCTGGGGAAACACCCCCGCTGTGAATTGCCTCCAACTCGAACGCAACGAGGGAGTTTCTGAGAGTGTCGAACGAGATTTCAATTTGTGCTTTGCCGGTGGGGTCATGTCAAGTTTGTCTAATCACGACTGAGACCCCTTCTTCTAGCCTCAGGGGATATACGGAATCTGGTAATGACTGTCAACGGCCTTCCAGATAACTATCAAGGTCGTTGCAAAATACTTCTGAACGATCGTAGTGATCATGTCACCACTAGAAATATTCTCATCTTGTACGCTCTCCTGCGAAATGGCCCCTCTCCTGAGCTTGCGGCAGAGAGTGCTATACATTTCATGTATTCAGCGGCGCTCTGCCCGTCCGACTCTTCAGAGCTCCGCCACTGCATCGATGCCGTATATGGTGAAATGATGTCCGTGTCGCAATCACTCGCCTCTAGGTTTATTGCCACGTTGAACCCAAATGATATGCTCAAGAAGTCTTTCCCGATACGAGGAGGTGGCAGCTTGTCTATCGCTCAATACGCTGTTAATCTTTTTGGCAAGCCGCTAGCTATAC